TTGAATGGAAACGTCAGCTCAACTCATATCATTGTGGGAAAATTCTACTACCAGTCCTTCATCAACTTAGTTCTATAAGTAGTTATGTTTACAGGTCCGACTAGCTATTTTATACGGGCTGACGGGCCTCACTGACAGAGGCGATGTCGCATAAGCACAAAACCTAAAAAAAACCTGGCATTTAGAGAATGGGAACTGAATAAAGTGCTTCTACCTCTTTAAATATGGTCCTAATGTCCCATTGCTCATGTGGTTCGACTATCTTTGTCGAAAGCCGAAAGGATGGTAAAATCAGTAGTTCAACTCTCTGCTTTTTCGCAAATAGTTAATTCACGTTATCCCATTTCTTGATATTACGAAGTGATTAAAAAGTAGTACAGTGAATAATTATTGTGAACTAAATATTTCATTGAGGTTTCTGATTTTTTATCAAGCGTGATTTACCTCTGCCAGATGCGGACTTTTTTGTGTTATTTTATTCCATAATACTTGCACAAAATTTTTCCTTCGAAATGAAAAGTCCTTTGCCATGAAGTTATCAAGGGACTCTTCGAAACCTTGTTTAGTCTATTATACATAAGAATTTATGCCAGTCTAGGTCACTCATAGCGATTTGAGGATGGATGGTTGAATTTTGCAACAATCATATGAGTAAGCCTCAACCTAAACGACATCGAGTGAGCCCAATTCTTATTCAATAATTAGAGAAAGCTTCGAAAACTACTCTTATTGAGAATATGTATACATTTTGGGTCAACCACAGGATGGACATGCATTGAAGCCCTTCCAAGTGCAGAGTTGGCTGGAGCACATGAAACCACCGGAAGAGAGCAAATGACAAAGTGGCAAGACAGAATGCCCTTGTGGGCGTTCGCTACCTCCTCCAAAGGCTTTCCGACTGCCAGTCGCTCACTGCATTCGCCCCAAACATACTTCAGGTCAGAAAAGAAGAGGGCTCAGTCGGCAATACCCACCTTCCAGAAGATTCGGTTGGCCGGCCTGCCCGACTTGTCCGCCTCAAGGTTGGCTCTTCGCGGCCGATCAAGCGAAGCACTATGAACTGCCACCCCGACAGACAGCTGGTCGGGTTGGCTGGATGTCGGTTTGAGGTGACCGACAGCAGAAGCTCCGGCAGGCCGGGCAACCGAAACTTCTGAGGGAAGCCGGAACACTTCCGCCTCCTCCGCTTCGTCCAGTTGCCGATACCAAGCCGTCAGGATGCCTGGACCCGCGCGCCGCGTCTCCATCAGCAGCATCGCAGACGGCTGGTCTAGTCTAAATGTCTTTCTGGCGAACGGATTCCTGCGACCGCCGTCGTCAAAGTGCCCTCCAGAATTGAACATCGCGCCGGAAGCAGCCTTGTTCTGAACGACGAGTCGGGCGCCGGCGAACGGCGAACCAGTTGAGCCGGTCTCACAGGTTAAGCAGTCCGACGGGGCCAACGCCTCGAAAGAAGGATGGACTTCGGAAGTTGAAGGTCCAGACCGAAGCAACTGGCGAAGCCATAGGCCCACATTGGGCAGATGTTCTGCCTTCGCAGGAGGAAGAACCTCCAGAGAGCCGCTGGTGTCGACCGAATGGAGAAGATGAGTCGTCACAGGCACAGCCTCGAAGAGACAAAAGAGCAATGGCCTCAGTGCCTCTGTGGATGTTGCATTTGAAACGCCCAGGCAAGTGACCTAGGCGTGAAGAGAGAATGGCAGAGTCAGAGTTGGATGACAGCATTAACAGCAAAATAGGCGGATGGAAAGCATGAAAAAGAAGACAAGCTGGAGAAGGGGACAATGCAAGTCAAGAGAGAGTATGAGATGACTAGAATTCAAGGCGTGCTAAGGGTAAATCTGACTTACTATTTCGGGGTCGAAGGACCTCGAATAGCGATTTACATAATGGATTATTATAAAATCCCATTAACTCGTCTATTTACCGCAGGTCTTATGCCCTGATTTGCTGGTGGCAAAGTACAAGCAATTGCCACTAAAGAGGGGATGCTAGCATTCTCCCAATTCAGCTTCACAAGTTTGGGGACATCATGAAGCGCGAATGTTGCCTCAATTTGCTTTAATGGACTTCTATGAAAGATCCGATTTACGATTATTGATGCTAACTTTACCCGAAAATCAAACATTTGCATATCAGACTACTCATAAGTACGAAAGTAGAAGGCTTGTAATTCAGTAACAATAGCTATCCGTATAGAAAGAAGTTGTTTGACCTTGTTTTCGCAACTCTGTCACATTGGTAGGAAGACTTAGAGGAACACACCTAGTCCGCAGTCCATTGTATGTATCATCATTTCCAGAGTAGGACCGTGGACGAGGTACATTCTTAGACGTTTCGCCGGCATCGTCAGTGAGTCTCGCCATTCGTAGCACCATATTACAATTTGTCAAAGAGACAAGTAAAGCCCATCCTTTGACCAAACGTGTGATAAACAGTTGTGTTATCTCCCCTTCTGCCCTGGCCTATTCACATTTCCTATATCTTCCTATCATGCCTTCCCTGTCACATTTTTTTACCGCGCTTATTTTCAATGTAGTGTGGTGTGTTCCTTCGAGCGGCATTCATGAAAACCCCTCACACTCCACACTGTCGTTATCACCCTCTTCACCATTCTGCTGGGAATGTTGACCAGAGTTTGTCATATTGTTACGTAGTCCTTCCCTGGGTCCTATCAAAGTCTCCCTCTTGCCCCGTAGAATCTGTCTGCTATCTCCCTGGTACATGTATTTCACTCGACCCCTTCCACCCTCGTCAGTGCTATTCGAGGCGTAATTCGTCAATCCCCTGCACCTGGGTGATTGATTAGAGGCTAAGGCCTCAGAATAAGTCTCATGGTCATGCCCTAAATGAACCACGTCTCTTGTAAAA